GGGGCTCCACCTTTTTTTAATTGCTGTGGGACCAACCCCCTACAGTGAAGGGGCCTGTGCAGCCCCTATGAACCGAGCTCGTATACATGGAGCTTGGTCCACTTTATAAATTATGAATTGGTCTGTGTGTACAAGGAAGGGTTTACACGTGTACAGAACCCTCCAGAGCACACACAATAGGTGGCCCCATGTGGGACCCACCTCATATTAAAAAAAAAATCCCTATCGTGGGTATTTTGGAGGGGTTCTGTAAACTCCCTGTACACACAAACCAACTCGTAAATTATACTATGAATCCTATATAATATCAGGTATTCATCTTTGTTGAAGTAAAGAATGAAAACATGTTGCCCTATCAAATACAATAAGCTTTTAGATTTAAATTGTGTGTGTTAGGTTTTCATAGGCTAAAAATGAATCCAGCCCACAGTGACGTGACGGATTTAAGTTGAGATCTAAATGAAAAAATATTGCTCTATTTAATAGTTTAAACTTTTACACGAGATTGATTAGTTAGCAGTTTTCCTTTTACTAGTTTACATCCAATAAAGTAAAAAAGAAAATAATCTTGACCGAAAAAGAAGGTTCAATGAATTTATGGGCTTCCTTGTCTTGACAGGAATCATCATCTCTGAAGAACATGCCAGTAGTCATTATGTCATCCGAGAATGTTCCTTCAAGAATCAGCAGGTAAGGATGAAGATGTAAATTCCTCAATCGACATCATATATTTTAAATTAATGCTGTTCATTACTGTTTAATCTATTTTACCAAACACATGTACTAGTTTGAAGTCTCTGAAATAAGTTTTAAACAACTACACATGCCATTACATGTCGAAAAAATTCCGTTTTTGCCGACTCAATATCACCATAACATGTCCTCGACCTGTTTTCAAGTTGATTTCGAAACTTTTTGGGTTTTCATATTTGGACCAAATTTTCATTACAGATGCTTGGAGGAAGGAGCAGAAGAATTTTTCCTCAAACCAGTGAGATTATCAGATGTGAATAAGCTTAGGCCCCATCTGATGAGAACCAAATGCTGCAAAAATATTCAAAATCAAGAAAACCAAGAAAATAAAGAATCTCCAGAAATTCAATTACACACAGCAGCACAATCCAATAATAGTAATAAGCGGAAGGCTATTGATGAAGGGATTTCTCCTGACAGAACAAGGCCTAGATACAGTGACCTTACTTTGGTTTCCAATTAATCAATGCGGAAAACTGGATTGTATATTTGCTCAAACCATGTTCGAGCGAGATTCTTCCCCTAATAAACGGAGATCACTCTATTTAAATGTCAATTAGCAGATCAAGGCAAGGCCTTGTAAGTCAGCAAGAAAGAGGCGTCGACAAAGAGAGACTGGATCACCAGCTGAGGCTCCTAAACTGATCCAAGCAAATTAATAGTAATTTTTTCATGTTTTGTTTTCTTTCTTTCTTTTTAGTCCATGTTAATATGAGAATAAGAGATGTGTAGAGAGTAAAGAGGGGGGAGAAAATTATAGATTCTTATTGTCATGTAAATTGAACAAAAACTGAAAAATCACAGGGTCAGCTTAGTACCAATTGAATTTTAAGTAGTTTTCAATTTTCTTGACCTTACCCACTCTCTCATTTTAGGTTCAATTTTTTATTTTTTATTTTCAATGTTTATGCGTTCAATATGGTTACAATTGCACAATATGCCCCTTATATCTGGTATCCTCAAACTTTTCTCCAATTAACACAATTTTCATATGATAACAGTTTATGTCAAAAAATTCCTTGAATTGACATAAAACGAGTTAATTGTTCCAATAGTCATTGAACTTATGTCCATATCTTTGATTGGCCATTGAACTTTAAAATATTGAGTTTTGGCCACTGTACTTAGATTCATGTCTTTAATTGGTCACTAAAGTTTACAATGTCTAGTTTTGGTCACTGAATTTAGGTCAATGTTTTCAATTGTTCACTGAACTTAGATCCATATCTTAAATTGTTCATTAAAATTTAAAATATCGAGTTTTGAGCACTAAACTTTGGAATATACTGTACGTTACTCACTAGCATA